CGATAAGAATGGAGACTATTTTATTTAATAAACGTTTTGTTTTGATATATAAGTTGTTTGGGTTTTTAACATGGAGGTAAATGACTTAATTACTTCGCACTTTGGATTCGTAGTCAGATGGGTGAGAGTCCCAGGATCGCCTGCATCATGTTGCTGTTTCTTTGAGTGAGACACTTTATCCCAACTGTTGGAGTCTACCCAGCTATATGATGGGTACCAGCTGTTAGCTGGCATCCTTCCCAGGGAGAATGGGTCACCCAATCTCATCTCCTTGTGCTACTCGAAACCAGAGTTTGAAAGCACTGGCCATATGTGCCTCACAGAGACATGGCAAGGACTTGACTAGCTTTTAACTTAATATTAAATCAATACCCGTGATTCATTAACAAAGAAGCCTGGTGTTTAGAATTTAGCTTAATTATTAAAACATAGAAAAACTGTACCACTATTATCAATATAGAAAGTAAAGCCTAAAATTCTATTGATTACTATTAACCTGTTTTTAATTCACTTTTAAACCAACCAAACTATTTAAGTATACCATAATTTGGGAAATTTATGCAAATGTAGAAATTATTCATTAGTGAGAAGTAAATAATATCAAAACAAGTCCTTAATGAAATCTTTGAAATGGTCATAAATATACAAATTGAAAAAAAAAGTGTTTTTTAAGATTTCGTACTTTAAACAATTCCTTAAACATGTAGTAGACAAACTGAAAACAGTCCTATGGGGTCAGCTGACCAATCAGGTAATTGAGGGTTTATTACAGCAGTAAGAAAAAAATTTAAAGCATAGTGAAAAACTCCTTGAACCCCTTTTGAACATATGAGCATAATGCTGGAATCTTCCTTTAAGTATGCAAGTTCATCTGTTAATAGTCAAACTATGATACTAAGATACTTTTCTACTCACATATTTGGTAATACGCAGGAAAAATGCCCAAGGTGTTAGCAAGACTGTTGACGTGAGTGACGAGACAGCATGAAGACGTTTGGCACCACCTACGTCATTGGCAAGTCTTTTGGAAGCACTGTTAAACCCTGTCTTTAAACCAACAACGAGTACTAAAAGCAAGACCCCAGCCTGAAAGTTAAATGCACAATTAATTAACAGGAACTACAGCCTGAAATTAAACATAAAAACAATCCACAGAAACAGCATTACAGTATATTCTAGAAGAACAATATAAAATTCATTAAAAAAAAATCAAACTCCACTCTGTAAGTATGAAAGGAAATTAATGACCGAAGAAAACGTCGAGCAAAACATAAAGTAGAAATCTAACAGAAATATGCAGAACCCCAGTTAAATAGTTAATACAAGAGAATAACAGAGAAAAGTTTAATAATATTAATTAAAAAGCTAAACAGAAAACACTACAAATTAAACAGCTGTTCAAAAATGACAATAAAAACTTCTGTCAGTTGGAAATAGTTTAAATATCATGGTCGAACTAACTTCTTTTTTTATAAAGTTCTGCAAAGGGTAGAAATTAAATGTTTAAAAAATAACAATTAATTAAATTTTAAAGGATCATAAAAAATAGAATGCTTACTTTATGATCTGCTAAGCCTAGCCACGAGATTGAGTAATAAAACAGATGACTAATTCCATGATGATGGTGGCCCTCAGCTAGTTGAACAGTTATTAAGAATAACAAGAATAATGACAATAACACAAATATATTAAAAAATAACCTAAAGCAGTGGTTCCAAATCTGTAGTATTTATACCACCAAGGATACATAGAGACCTTAATGGGAGTCTGTGAGAACATCTGAATAATATTAAAAAAATAACCTAAAGCAGTGGTTCCAAATCTGTAGTATTTATACCAACAGGGATACATAGAGA